AGCCCACCACTTCATTTTCCAGACCAGTCCATCCAACAAACCCCACCCTAGGCCCACTAGCCCAATGTCGACCCACCCCCTTCCACCACAGTTCTCGTTTCTCCAGCCCTCAGCGTGCGAATTCTTTCTTCAGCCACTTTCCCAAATCGAAAAGAAAGGAAACCCTAGTTCCATGCAACCGCGACGACGTGACTTGGGATTCACAGCCAGTGCAACTGCGACGCCGCGACCATTCCAGAGCAGAACCCACACTCGTCGTCCGGAAATTCCTCCGCCACCGTCCCTTCTTGTCCAGAACCCGCCTTCGTCGCCGTCCCTGCTCGATCAGAGGCGTAAAGCACGCCGTCGTCCTCTCCACATCTGCTCTGCTCGTCGACATTGACGGCGCGACCATTCCAACGGTTAACTCGGTTAGTGATGCCATTAACCGCATTTTGCGGTTAGCAGTTAACCGCTAACCGTAGCAGGTGCGGTTGGCTAATATGGGCACTTTGTGGTTGCAGTTAACCGCAAATTGTGGTGCAGTTAACCGCAACCGCACCGTTTCCCACCCCTATTTGCATCTCCATCCACACTAGAATTCATCAGCCAACTCTCTATCATTTTGAAGAGTTCTGCCTGGTTGAATACTTTTAGGATTTTTGTTTCCCACATTGTGTTGAACCCTTAAGTTGATGTTGTTAAGTGTATCTATTTAAACACAACAAATTTAGTTATATGTACACTACCACATCAAATATTCATGTTAAACTTAGATTTAGAGCAATGAATGCAAACTTTAATGAACACTTATAAGAAAATGTTTTCTGCACATTTGTTCGACTAAAATCTAAATTCATTTCACTCATTTTCATTACTAATGAAGAGAGATTAAAAATATGCGTCAACGTTTCTAGCTTAAATGTAGCCTTAATTTTTTTACGTCTCCTATGTTTGAATTGACTATTTTGAGAATTATAATTACCATGATGGTGAGAGTTGTAGAGAAATCAGTACATTTTTTTTATTTATAGACATTTTATTGAGGCAGCCCTTTGTTTATAAACATATATGTCACTATTAGTATCATTTCGTTGTTAGTCATTTTGTCTTTTCATGTTTTTAATACATCTAAGCATACTCGAAGTAGTTTGAGTATTTAGCTAAATAGTTTATGGCCAAATCCCAAGCAAAAACACAACATCCGTGTGAATGACACATACAAGTTATATAACCATCGAACACTCTGGCCAATAGGGCAGGCCTTATGCTAGTACACTATGATACACTTTCATACCACAATGATATAATCTTATGCATTACCATGATATAGTCTGGTAATACATGATATAGTCTGGTAATACATGTCTCAATTTTCTTTTATTTCAAAAGATGTAAAAGTGTATGTTATTTTGAAAAACATGACTGATCTAATTTTTCTGAGGAAAAATTTGAATTATGATTTAAAACAAAAAAGAGAGAGCCCATTAAATAAAATTAGGAAAAGATTATGCATGCTCGATAACCAATTCTCTCATACTCATGATTGAAATTGGACGTGTTAATGAGCTCACAAATCAGTGTCTTTTAGTGGTTACTAAGTTCTTCGGGTAGTGTTCTTTCACATATATCATTTGGTGGATGTTCTAAACCTAGTTGCACATTTTAGACTATGTTTCCAATTTGGTACTCTATTATGCCTGGTCTTTTGATCATTGTTACTTTCTGTTTCTATGTTTTATTAGTACATGGATTTGTAAAGTATCAAATGACAGCCTTTTCATTGCTGAAATTCCATTTGCTGGCTTTGTGAATTATCTATTTCTATGGTTTGATTTGGGTTAACATGCTTTGCCAGCTGACAGACTCACTAGCTTATATAATGGAATGAAGGGCTTTGGGATTAGAAGGCATTAGTAGTAGTAGTGATGTGTGATTCCTATATGGCCATTGCAGATTCGGCTATTAATAACCATTTTTAGTTGGCAATTTTCCAACTCAGCCTGCTATTTGTAAGGAACATAAAAGATGTGTTTGGAAACTTAGGCTACAAACTATTTTCCTGTCCAGTTGTTTCTTTTCTTCATTATTCTTGCTTGAATTTTGTTTGGTTTGGTCTGATTTGCAAAACTCTTAATTTTGTTATGATTTTCTGCTCATAGACTACACTTTCAGGAAAAAGGACCACCCCTACGATTATGGAAAATGAACTCCATACATCACACAGTTACTCTACTACAGCTTCCTGTTTTTCATTGACTGGAATCCTCATTGTTTTGTGTTTTCAATTACTATGGTTGCCTTATACATTTGTTAGAGATGTTGTGCAAACATTGAGCACGAATTTCTGATAGTCCACATCAACTGGTGAATTTATTTGACAAAATTTATTGGGATTGAAAAGGAGCAAAGAAATACCTTCATCAGTCTTAAATCTTCTTTGTTGTTAGAGGAGCAGTTTAATTGCTCTTAAGCACTGCATATAGAGCTTCCTCTGTTAATCTTACTACCTGCATTTGCCTGAGGACACCAGCTGAACCATGAGAACATTAGTGATTTATTTGATAGAACATTAGTGAAAGGAAATGTTAAATCAATGGCCAACGCAAAAATTTAATTGTGCTGGTGTAAAGAACAATCAATTCACATCTACTAATAAAGATTTGTTCAAAGTACTGATTTCGTCTTTTGTATAATGCATAACAAGTTCAATGTTTGATGCAAGAATAAAATTTGAATTACTTCAAGACGGAGAAACTGAACCTACCAATTGAATTGGTCGCTTGACAAGATTCTGGCAATTGAAAGTATGAAGCTGATGAAACACCCTAACCCGACCAAGTACTACTTTTACTTAAATGCCCTTGATAAATAAAATACTCAAATCCTAATTGCTTAAATAATTATAAGGGTTTAGGGAAGCACATTATAGTTGAGGTGGTGCAATTTGGTCTGACAGTAATAGACTAAACATGTACAAAAGAGGAGAAGCAAACAATACCAAAGAGGAGACGACTCTGTCACTTAATCGATAAGCTTTTGAAGTGGAACGGGATGCTGTTTCCTTATGAGCTAATGCCCCTGCTCCATCTGTGCTTTCTTGGCAGCTCCTTTTTTCACCAGCGAGGATCTTGGTTGTATCCCACCCGCAATAATTCACCAGATTCCAGGAAAACAATTTTGATATATGCATCCTGAAGTGCTGATCAATGCTACATCAGGACCGAATCAAGAAGAACATATAATGCCAGATTGCCAGTTATTATAATAGATGGAACCACATTGTACCCAAAATCATGCAAACCAACGTACCTGTGGTAGCGACAAATGTTTGATGGGAGTCTCTCTGACTGGAAACCTTTATGGTATCCAAGGGTCTAGCAGATCGGGAGAAAAAGAAACTAAATGACACCAACCGTAGTAACTTTTAGACATGTATGCCTTCACCGGACCTAAAATCGTTGCGTTGACCGACGGATGTCTTTAATCAGAGACTCCGCTTGATAACTTTGGTCGCTGATGACGATGAGATTGAAAATACTGATGCGACAACTTGCGAGGTAGGTTTCGTAAATCAGGTAGCAACAATTAGAATAATAGCACTCATATTGACAGGAAGACAGGGGAAGGCATCCATGCAAGGAAACCGGTGACGACTGATTACCTTCGTCGGAAATTTAACAGAGGCGTGGAAGGGAGGAAGGGAGGGGGAACGTTTCTTGCTTTTGTCCATTTATTTTTAGCTTAATAAATGCATTTGGTTGGTAGAGGAAAGAGCACATACAATTTCATCTGGTGCTTCCAAGTTGAGTTAAAACATATGTGCTTTTCTGTTTATGACTGGACTAATGAGCCTCTATGACCGGCGCAACATTATATTGATTACTACCAAAAAAATGGCCAAAAGTCGGGTTTCCATTACCAGGTCCTAATTCCCCTATTCTCTTTGTTGCCTCTTCCTATGTTCCCATTCCCGCACAATTTCCATGTATTCCTTTCTCCTTACATCCCTTAATCATTTTAGTTTTATGTTGAACTCCACTATGCCAGCAACAATGACTACAATGACAACAACTTGTCGGTAAATGGACCGGCCCCTGTGCTAGTACACTATGATACACTTTCATACCACAATAATATAATCTTATGCACTGCCAAGTATTACCGCCATGGTATAGTCTGGTAATATATGTCTCAATTTTCTCTTGTTTCAAAAGATATAAAAGTGTATGTTATTTTGAAGAACACGATTGATCTAATATTTTTGTAAAAAAAATTGAATTATGATTTAAAACGAAAAGAGACAGCCCATTAAATAAAATTAGGGAAAATATTATGCATGCTCGATAACCAATTCGCTCCAATAGTATCTATATTTTCAGAATATGACCGAACAATGAACAAGAAAAGTTAGTGGTTTATGCTTCATTGATTAATCATTAAGAACTATTAATTCACTTTTAATAGAATCATTCATGCCCTATAACATAAAAGACATGTATAATAAAACAATTTAGAACTGAATTTAGAACTAACAATAAACACTTCCAAATTCATATCATTCATCACCAAAGTTCTAACAAATTATTCAAATTGTCTCACTAAAAGAAGCCTTAATTGTTTTTATTAAATTCAAATTAGTAATTAGGGTGACAATTGAGAGCGCACCGCATAAATCTGACAAGGAGGCTAGAAATCAAAGAAGAGGAAGCAGAAATAAAAATATTAATTCAAGTTGGATGGTCTTGATTTACGTTAAAATGTATTATTTTATTAATTTTTCGTGGTTAAAATAGCGAACCAATCAAACAAAAGTGATTCATATAATTTCATATCCAACTGCCAAAAACCGTTTAGTCCAATTTTAGTCGTTCAAGCAAATGAATCTAACCACTATTATAACTTATTTACGGTTCCACTAATTTAGTTGCTGATCAAATTCAATTCTTATGAGAAGCTTAGTATACAAGTATATACACCATTTTTTGCACACAAATAAAGGAAAATACAATATGGGAATCCTAAAAGAATTGTTGTTGAGTGCCGAATATGGCTTCCCGAGTGACAATCTTGATCCCTCTAACCCAAAGCTCCGCCATCTCATCCCCACCTTCACAAACAAAATGGATTATCCTATCCCTCGTCGTCACCACGTGAAACATCCCCGGTTCCTCCTCCGTAACCTCCTTCCGCTGTCGATTCCACCGAAACTCCGCCGTCGGACCCACCTTTGCATCCTTACACACCGCCTCCCTCTCGCTCCACCACTTCCACCACCGCCATTTCTCCTCCCAACGGAGAGTCCCCGCCGCCGGCACCATCCTCATCGTCTTGTGATGCGCCTTCCCTTTCCCTCCCTTCGTATGCTTCTTCACCCGCCCGCCTCCCACCACAAGCTCCCGCGCCTTGTAATCCAAAATCACCTCCTCTGCCGCCGTCTCCCCTCCACCGCCTCCGATATTACTTCGCCGGGCCAAAATTAGCGCCGTCTCCCCCCTCGCATTTCGTGCATCGACCTCCGCTCCTGCCGATATCAGAACCCGGCAGACCTTCCCGTGCCCTTCTCTCGCCGCGAGCATCAACGGAGTGTACCCGTCACCGTCGGCAGCGTTGACGTCGGTGCCTCCTTGTCCGATCAAATCCTGGACCAACCCTAATTCCCCTCGCACGGCGGCGCGATGCAGGGCGTGATTTCCGATTGGTGGGTTCTTACAATTGTTGGATGATTCGTGCTCGAGCAGAGCCTTTCCGAACAATTCGATCTGGTTCAGTTTTGATTCGGCCAAGCACATTGCCGTCTCCCCATTTTTGTTCCTCAATTTCACGTCGGCTCCGGCCCGGAGCAGCAATTTGAAGGCGTCGAGGTGGCCGGCGGCGGCGGCCACCATGAGAGCCGTAAATCCATTTCCGTCCTGTTCGTCGAGATCCACATCCGCTTTCTCCGTCAGCCGCTTCAATGCCTGGAGATCTCCTGCTCGAATCGCGAACGCCAACGGCGAGAAAACCGAAACATCGCTCGATTTCATGACTTTCCCACATCGGATTGCGTCCATTACCGCCTGCTGAAACCCTAGACCCCAATCGTGCTTCCTCGCAATGGAGACGGCGGACTCACCACCGGAATCCACCAGACCGAAATCGGCTCCGGCCGAGGCCAGCACTTTCAGGCATTCCTCCTGCTTGTGCTCCGCGCAGATCATGAGCGCGGATTGACCAGAATTCGTCCTCGAATCGACGTTGCAGCCGGTGATGGAGATGAGCTGTTGGAGGATTCTGTTGGACCCACGGCGAGCGGCCAAGTGAACTGGCCGGAGTTGGGTTTTTGAAGTTGCCGCCGGGTATTCGGTATCCGCACCGGAGGCAATGAGGACTTCGGCTGCTTGGGGATTGTTGCAGAGAATGGCGTGGTGAATGAGAGTCCTGCCGAGGTGGCAGAGATTCGGGGAGAGATGGGTGAGGAGCAAGCGGAGTATTGCGCCGGTGGATTCAAAATACTCGACCGCGCACCATGTGACGTTGTAGGCCTCGGCTAGTCCTGCTCCCACTCGGATTTCTTCGCCGGTTTCCATGTCCCATGACCATGCTCCTACTTGCACTTTCATGTCCAGTCTCACGCCAGCCTGAATCGCAGCTAGGAATTGTTAGTGCTATAGAATTCGGTATTCAAATATTGGTAGGCTCAAATTTGGTTAATGAATTCATATATTAGTCCCAATTACAATCACGATTTAGGAATGACAATCAAACCCACAATCCGTACTCTAGACCGTTATGTAATTGACCCACAATCCTCCTAAGGTGCGGACTGGATGCAAATGTTGCCTACCTGCAACAACAATCTGACTACCGAGGTCTGTCTACTAACAACGGCGGCAGCGAGAGCATTGCTGTAGACATTGGTGTGCAGCAACGGCTTCGAAGATTGAAGCAGCACCCGATCCATTGCATTGGCATCTACTCCACACTGCCCAAATCAACAGACCCCAAAACAATTTCAATCACCAAAGAAATAAACAGGCTGAAAAACTGAGTTACGAAATGGAGGCAAGGTGTTCGAGTAAATGCCTTAATGAGCACGTCGACCACATTAACGAAACCCCTGCAGGAGGCCGATACGAGCGCATGAACAGCGACCCGTGGCCGTATGAGGTCGGAGCCCATGAGCAATTCGGCCGGCTTCGCCTGCCCTAAGTAGCTCGCTTCCATTAGAGCTTCCTCGCATGCCTCCTGACACGCGCCTGCTTTCATTAGCCTCTCCAGTATCTCCAAATGGCCTTCTCTCACTGCTGCCGTTGTGGCGTACCCTCGGAACAGCTTCTGATTTGGATTAGCTCCATGACTCTGCTCAAAGAGGAAGGGGGAAGAAATTCAGCTTGATTGAGATCATAATCACAACGAATCCAATCCCTAAATCCCTGCCTCTTCTGAATCAAATCCCTAATTCATCACCATATGAAATTTGATACCGAATCGCAATCCTGAAAACAGCAGTAGTTACTTCGAATTGCTGTAATCGTAGGGAAAGCAGAGAAGGAAGTTTCTCGGTCACGCTACCAGCAAATTTTTGACGAGCAGCGAGTTGCCGGCGTGGGCGGCGAGGAAGAGAGCAGTGACGTCAGTCTTGAACTCCTCGTACTCGACACGGACCTCGTGAGCTGACTCGCCGTGGAGCACGACCTCGGTCTTCTTCGACCGGAGGCTCACCGTGCCGGCGAAGTTGACGTCGACGAAGGGATCGGCGAGGCAGTCGAGGGCTGAATTAGCGTCGTTGCGGTGGGCGGCATCGACGATGCGCTGTGAGACCTGATTCTGGTAGTCCACGGGGAAGATCTGATGATTGGTGGCGGCGGCGGTGGCGAGGAAGACGGGGCCGGAGCTGACGAAGACAGTGACCTGCTGTTTCCCGCCGGAGAGAAGCCCGGCGGTTGCCGAGTTGCTGAACAGCGGTGGCATTGGTTTCATCGACCGTTGGAGGTCGCTGGAAGTTGGTTTGGCGTTAGGTGTGGCGTGGGAGAGAAGAGTGGAAGAAGAAGAAGAAGAAACAGAGCAGGTTGGACATTTCTCAATGGGCAGAGAAGGAAGGAGGGAAATTTGAGAAGGAGAAGCACGCAAGGCGCCTTTATTGAACTACGAACTTGATTTTTTAAAACTATCCGGTCGTGGATTTTTGAGACTTTATTAGTTATAATAAAGGTATTTCTTTTTGCGGAATAAATAGTTTAAAGATATATTATTTTAGCTAATTGTTTAAAAATAATCACGAAATTTTTTTTATGGTTTCTCTAGTTCCGTTGTCGGGGCAATAATAATCACGAATTTGAAAGTTGAAACACAAAATTATTCCTATTCATAAAAAAAAGGAACACAAAATTATGTATTTTGAACATACGGAATTGATATTTGAGTTCCGAAGTATCAAAATTTTCAAAACTTCAATATATCGCTAATTATAAGCACAATTTTATGAATGAATCTCTATAATTAGCTCAAAACATCGATTAAACTAAATGTGATTATTTACATACTTATCGTATTGACTCATATAGTTGTAGATGAGTTTTGTAATACTCACTCAACTACTCGAAGTTGTTAGTCTCCAAGTTTTGAAAGTTGTTATGGTCTGCCCTAATAATGAATAATTGAAGTAAAATTTCAATTCATTAATTATTTGATGTTCGTCCAAGACAACATATATGAAACTATATAAAATATATTTTAGACTTTTTTTGACATAAACTTACTACAGGTACTACTAAAGGGATAGGGGAAAAGAAAAATGAGTATGATCCCTAAAATTCGAACCTGGAGGCTCCAAGTTAAAAACCAACAACACAATCACTCGAAATAAATTGATTGTCTACAAGTGTTTTATTAAGATTAATCATTTTTATCACCCGGATCTACTTGGAAAACTTGGGTCGATTTGCGTTGAACTTGTTCAACAGATCATAAATTTTTGGAAGATTGCTAGGCTGCGTGTGTTTTGATTCCTTTCCTTGTTGGAGTTTGGGTCTTGGGAGATGGCGGTAGAGATAACTACCCGCAAACTGGCCCTTGTTGGGATGCTTTACTTTGTCCGTTATATTAAATATTATATTACCACACTTCCGTCGTTTACTTGGTTCATGAGAGCACCATTACAGACCTGGTCGACCAGAGCTGCAGGCAAAATTCTGCGAGATCGTAACATCATATTTTGGAAATTGCCTGAGTTGATCTCATAACCAGAAACTGCAGTAAAAAAGATTTCGACTAAACTCTCAATCGTATCGTGTTTATGTACGTTGGTACATTACGACTTGTTATTACTTGGAGCGTGTAAATCTTTATCTCAGTGATTAACAACTTTAGGAATTCAGATGAGTTGGCATATAGTGATCCGCAAACAAATGGGTCATTGTGTTGATAGTGAAACAATGAGAACAACTTTGACCTAGTTAAATAGCATGTTGTTTATAATTGCTATTTGCCGAAGCCGGAACTTGCCGGCAAATTTATCTTGACTAAGAGCCCAAAACATTCCCACCTTCGTTAAGGTAATTAGTGCCAAATGTAGCTCTCTTATATCTCCTCCCTTGACGTATTAGAATTTAGAACATCAAAATTCCTAACGTCAAATTTTGGAAGAAAAAAAATTCGTATTCCATTGAGCGATTGTTCAAATCGCCACCACTTGTCTCGTCGGTATACTTATGATGAATTATTTCGGCATAAATTTGGACTTGAAAAAAAAAAGAGAAGAATTTTTCCATTTAGTTCTCTCATTGGCTTGCGGGTTTTCCACAAAAGATCAGTTTGGCAAAGCATTTTTCAATTTTCCTGGTCAAGTTTTTGAAAAAACTTACAAGTATGTATAAAATAAAAACAATTTTTTTCCTATTTACACTTTATTGCTTTAAATTTTCTCACTTTTTATACGTCAATATCACCACCTTTTACCGCTAATTAATTATTTTTACTTAGTTTTTTTTCCAGTAACTCATTTAGAACGTGCCACCTAACATACTCACTCTTTTCTTTTTCAATTTACCTTATTATTTTAATCAACATATATTTCTTTTGCTTTAAACTCAAATATTAGATAATTTTGGAAAAAATATAATTAATGTGATATACACAAAAATATTTATTTTGATATATTTAAAAATAAAAAACCATAAAAAGGTTATGATCAGGTATTCAAAAGTCACTTTTCCATTTGGTAGAGTTATTAAACTATGGGATTTTGCTACGGTGACATGCATGTCACCGTGACATGGACTTTTCGGTCGACCGGATTCAACTTGCGGTCGACCGAATGGACTAATTCATGTATGTTGGGTTCCTGAAGGCGGTCGACCTCTTACAAAATGCGGTCGACCGCTTTGGTGGTCTAACAGAATGAAAGGTCGACCCAAATATCTCATAGGCCGACCCTTGTGCACCTAACAGGTCGACCGCATTATGAAGAGGTCGACCGCCTTCAGACCGTATCCGTATTGGATATGGATTCCAACACCAGAAAGGTTCCACAATTGGACAAGGAAACGAATTGGGTCGACCCATTCACGTCCTAAATCTCTATAAATACGAATATGAGTCCCCTTCAACGCCACCAAGTCTGAATTAGGTTTTTTCCGACTTAGAGCCTTTGTGAAGAAGATCGTTCGCGGTTGCTGTTGTACGTGTTGGAAGTGGTCGACCAGGTCTAAGGTGAGGTCGACCTAATGTAGCATTCACCGTCTTCTTTTTTAATGCGTGATTTCCACCGGCTAACTTGATATATTGTTGGGTGCAGAATTCAATTCGGTCGACCGTGACGTCAACCAGGTCGACCTGACGAGACAATTCTTCGTATTTGAATTTAGACCACAACACTTGGCCTTCTGTACTTGCGAGGTAACCCAATCGGTCGACCTAATGAGTTTCAAGGTCGACCGTATATGTTTTTTTGGTTATTCAACCTGAATGTCGACTTTGGCTTTGTTTGTATGACTATGTTGTGCTTGAAAAGGTCGACCGCGCCAGATATCTGGTCGACCTATCCTTTTTTCGGTTTAATTTTGAACTTACTATTTGTTTGTAATTGTTATTTTCCTGCTGGATAGGTCGACCTAGGAATAACAGAGGTCGACTTGACGAGTTGTGGTAGTCACTATTTGTCTTACAGGTCGACCTAATACTTTGTCAGGTCGACCACGTATTTGTTTTTTGGTCAATTATAGAAATTTGTACTTGAATTATGATTTTAATTTTTCTTTAAATTGTTTAGACGATGACGCATGATGAGAAACTGCATCAAGATTTGGGTGAAATCATGAAATTGTTGAAAGCCACACAAGAGAAGCTGGTGGTGTGTCAAACACAAGTCGAGCATTTGTCAGTTTGACTGACAGATATGACTGGGATGATGCATGATGGGTTTGAGAGGCTAGAAGGTGCTATCAAAGATATAAGTGCAGAACGAATGGAGAATGGCGGAAGAAATGGTAAAGGAAAGAAATTTGACTTTGGTAAAGAGGAGGAAGACCATGATGACTCTGAAAATTGCTACCAGAGCATAGACGATTTATTGAAAGAGCACATTTTAAAGGTATCCAAGTATATTCATATGTGATTGAAGATATTAGTATTACTATCATTAGTGCTAATCTGTTTTGTTTATATGTTTGACAGAGTGAAACAAAGAATGGCCGCAAGGGTTCCTCTCCTAATTACAAGAGACCGCGATATGAAAGTGACTCCTACACCACTCCACAGAAGGATCAATTTGTAAGAAAGGGATTATTTAGTGATGATAGCGATGAAGATGAATCTAAGAGTCCTTTCGAAAAGCACGGGGTAAGTTTACGTTACATATTCATCTATAATGTGTGTTTGTGTTCATATGTTACTTTAATTTTAACTATGATTTGTAGGTCATGAAAGTGGAGGGTCTAGAAGGTTTCACCAAAAATCTTCAAAATCCAGTTGAAGACTTGTATTATGTTGTTACTAAAGAGAAGGTTGGGGACAAGAATTGGGACAAGTAAGACGTTTTTTTTAGTACGTGTGGTCGACTGGTAGTCCAATAAGGTCGACCGTTTGTCCAATAAGGTCGACCGTGACTGTGTACAGGTCGACCTGTACGTTGCAAAAAAACAATTGACATTTCTGTTATCTTGATTTTTGCAGTTTGATGATTGTGGACTTTTTTACTGAAAACGTGCAACGACATTATTTGAGTTCGGTCATTAGCGAGAAAAGCTGGGTTTGCTCATCAGTAAGTACTATACTACTACGACTTTCGTATGAATTGTGTACTATTTATGTTACGATTTACGATGATTTTGTGTTTGATTGTTGGATGGTAGGTAGTGGATTTGTGTGCAAGGGCACTAACAATGTCTGAAAAACATGATGTGAAAGAGCCAAATGTGTGGTATTTGCCAAATATGTTTTCGGTAAGAGCCGTAATGTCAAATTATTTGTCATAACCTAGTTATTTATATTGTACCATGTCAATTCATCTCAACTAAAACATGGTGCAGAAAATGGTACGCGCTAACATGAAGACCAGACAAATTCGTAACAAGTTGATGCATGATGGCGTGGACTTTATGCCGAATGTCAGTGCATGCCAGAAGGTTAGTCTAGTCAATGTCCCTATATCATTAAATTTCGAAAGTGCATTTGTTTGTATTCGCTGTTTATAACATATAGTGAGTGTTTCGTTGCTAGATATTTATGCCAGTTCTTGACGATGAAGCACGTCATTGGTTTCTGTATCTCGTCAATGTCCAGCAAAAAACTGCATTTTTGCTTGACAGTCTACCTTCAACTAGTGAGGCGAATCGTAGGCGTAAATCAGAACTATGCAAGAAATTAGTAAGTGTTTCCTATAATTTTCTGACTACTAAGCGTTACGTAGTATGCTAGAAGCTTAAAATATTCGTTATTTGTGTGTAGTTGTCCACTTTGGATGATATTTTGAAACCAGAGCGCACGAGCAATGTAGTAGTACCAAATTTTGGAGATTTCAATTTTGATGAGCTACCAGTTCAACGACAAAGGAATAGTACTGAGTGTGGTGTGCACGTCATGCGGTGGATGCGCTATGGATCCAAGGATCTTGATAGAGTGGTGAGTATATCGTCAAACAAATAACTAGTATAATTTACACTTTTTTTAGTTGTAACGAAATCTTACATGGCATAATGCAGATAGGAGAAGAACACAAATTACCGGCTCGAAAGGAGATTCTATGGTATCTGGCTACACATTTTGAAAACCGTGCACGAGAAAATCTTTTCAAGCATGTAGTAGATGAATGCATGGAACGAGGCAAAGAGAGACAGAGTTCAAAGAAAAAAGCAAAGAAATGAAGTCGTTAAGTTACAATGTTGCATTATTTGGACCATACATTTAATTTGTATTTGCGAGATCGTGTCATTTTGGATTTTGAATGTTTATCGTTTATTAGATTTGTTATACAATTATGGATGTGACTGAATTTACGATTTCAATAGTCTAGAACAAGTGGTCGACCACATACTCAAAGCGGGCATACCCAAAGGCAGAGCACAGGTCGACCTCGTGAAGGTTAAGGTCGACCTATGATACCGTAGCAAAGTCAAAAACCATGTAAATATGTATGGATTCTCGTCTGTTTGGCCTTAATAAAGTACGGTCGACCTTTCTTGTCAAGAGGTCGACCTGTGCTCACATTTATAATCAATGCTCGACCATTTCAGTAAAGAGGTCGACCTGTTTCACATTTAAAAACAACGGTCGACCATTTGTGTAAAGAGGTCGACCTGTTTCACATTTACCCAAGACGGTCGACCATTTGTGCAAAGAGGTCGACCGTGATGATTCCTGCCCTTGTACAATTAGGATTTTGTGTACTTGTCCTTGTCGAATTATGATTTTATATATCTTGAACCAATTGGATAAGGAATTCGTCTAACTTATCTATAAATAGATGGGAGTCTTCAGACATTAATCGTACCACGAAATCTTACAATTTGTTGGAGTGAAGTTATAATCTCATCACTCTTATTGTGATCGGGTGTTGGTGGCGGTTTATTTTTATTCCGGTAGACCGTAACAATAAGTGGTCGACCTCATTGCTAAGGTATGTCTCATATATGCTTGTTAATGGTTGTATGTGGTTAAATTTTTCCCACCATCCGGTCGACCACCCCCACCATCCGGTCGACCGTACTTTCGTAATTATAGGATTAGGTCGACCTTTCAGTAAATTTAGGTCGACCTCATGTTTGTTATTTAGTAATAAGGTCGACCGTACAGTTCATTCAGGTCGACCTGACGAGAGCTAATTGTGTATGTTTTGACATTAAGTTCGTATTCCGATCGTTGCAGGATGGATAACAGAGATGATACAGATGATAGAGATGATGATGAGGTTAACTTCGATGAGGAACCTAATGATGCTCGAGAAGGAGCTATGGATAATTCAGATGATACAGATAATACCGATGATGAAGTGGTTGGAGATGATTATGAAACCGAGGGTGCAGAAGAAGAATTTATTGATGATGAAGAAGCTACTGAATATGAACAACAAATTCCTTCCATGGAGTTCCAAACATTAGAAGAGGCAGAGAAATTTTACGATTCCTATGCTAAAGCGAAAGGATTTAGCGTTCGACGTAGAGATCTTCGGAGGAGTCGTCGAGGAGTAGCAATTGGGAGGACAATGGTATGTTCGAGAGAGGGGACTAGAGATAAGATGCATACAGATAAAGAAGGTCGGACTCAACAACATCGTAAGATGACAAGACATTCTTGCAAGGCATCGTATAATGTACGCTTTGATCGGAATAAGAAAATGTGGGTTGTTTCTAAATTTGAGAGGAAGCACTCACATCGTTGCTGCAATGAAGAAGAAATTCAATTCCTTCGGTCTCATCGAAATGTGAGTGAAGGAGACAAGGCTCTGGCGATAGGGATGCGACAGTCAGGAATAAAACAACGCAACATTGTTCAGTTCATGAAGAATAAAGTTGGAGGATATGAGAATCTGGGGTACACTCCAAAGGATTTGGACAATGCTGTTCAGCAATCCCGAACAGTTGACGACGATCTAATAGGAGATGTTAACCAAACATTGGGTTACTTACAAAGTAAACATACCTCTGATGCGGGTAGCTTCTTCAAGTACACAACCAACGATGAAGGTGAATTAGGCAATCTCTTCTGGTCGGACTCCACATCTAGAGCAGATTACCATTTTTTTTGGGGATGTCTTGGCGTTCGATGCATGCTACAAGCGCAACAGGTACAATCGACCATTTGTTATGATGGTTGGTGTAAATCACCACCACCGTAACATCATATATGGTTTTGCCCAGTTGGATAACGAGACAATCCCCAACTATGTTTGGTTGTTGAATACTTTTCTGGAGTGTATGAACTCTAAGATGCCCACTTCAGTGATCACAGACGGAGACAAGTCTATGCGTGGTGCCATTGCTACTGTTCTGGTTGGAGTGCCTCACCGTCTTTGTATTTGGCATATTGAGACAAATGCGACAACGACCGTTCATAATAAGGAGTTCGTTAGCGCATTCACTTACTTGGCGAAAGCACGAATATCGATTGAGGAGTTTGAGAGGCGTTGGGAGCTTTTGATTAGTCAGCATGGCTTGTCTGCAAATAAGTGGTTGCAGGATTTGTACGCTGACAAATTACTGTGGGCAGAGGCATACTTGAAGGATATTTATTTCGGTGGACTCCAATCAACCTCGCGATGTGAGTCATGTAACCATTGGATAAATGGGTATGTGAGAACTCAATACAGCTTGCAACGTTTTGTTCAGGGCATTGATGAAGCACTGGAGGGGATGCGTTTCACGGAGGCGCAGGATGATTATTCTTCTAGGCACACGAGGTTGGTCTGCAAGCATGCCCTGTGCACTTGGGAAATGCAAGTTGAAAGTATCTACACTCATCGTACATTTGCTATCTTCAAGACTGAACTAGAGAATGAAGCTTCTTATGTATTAGCGGAGAGAAGAAATGAATCAGATGGGACAGAGACATTCATACTGAAGAACTAAATGAACCCAGATCGGATAAGGCGGTTAACATTTACTACGTCCACTCAAGATCTCAAATGCGAGTGTGCATTATTTGAATCTAAGGGGTTTCCATGCAGACACATGCTTACAGTAATAAAAAATATGGGATACACCGCACTACCCTCGTCTTGGTTCAAGCTTCGATGGATCCAAAATTCGAAGACACTAAATCGTCATCCTGGAGTTGGAGGTGATGTGGGAGAGAGAGTTGGTCGACTGATAAGACATGGAGGATTGGCTCTAAAGTGTAAGCGTTTATGTGACATCGCGTGTGGTAGTGAATCTGCTTTTAATCATGTCTCTAAGACGTTGGACGACCTTACTCAATGGGCAATTGAGTTCGCGAAGGAGAGAGAAGACAACACCACACCGGCAAACCCTCTAGCACCCCTTCGAAGTGTGAAAGATCCAAAAATTGGGAAGACCAAGGGGACATTCAAGTCAGCACGAACTGCATCGGGCAAAAGTTTAAGAAAGTGTTCGAAATGTGGGAAATATGGTCATTTTCGCCCCAAGTGCCCGAAACAAAGTCCCAAAAAAGGATCTTAAATTTCTTCTATTATTTTTTAGGGGTTTATTTATTTTTAATAACTGTGATTGCATTGTATTTTCTTCGAATTATCTTAATAATTTATGAGTTAATTGATTGTGGGTTGAAATAAACAATTTGTCATAAACGGTCGACCTCATAACATATCCGGTTGACCGGACCATACACGGTCGACCGAACAAGTTAGTGCAGTCGACCGCGCATTTAATTCGACCGACCAAACCGGTTGACCAGACCATCCACCCAAACCTCCCTCCATCCTCTATTTAAGAAACCCTCCCCCACTCATTCTACACCACAATCAGAACCCTATCCCCCCACATCCACTCATTCTTCCTCTCCTTTCCCTTCTTCATCTTCTTCTCCCATTTCCAAAAACTCCATTTTCCTAAAACTCTTGAAAACCTTCATCCTCATCACTTAGAAGAAGAACAAGGTAATGCTTTTCAGTCTTCTTTTTCATTTGGGTTGATTCTTGTCTTCTTCCTTCTGTTTTCAAAAAATCTAAAGATGGAAAAGAGGGGTTTTTGCTTCTGTTCGTCAGAAGCGGTCGAC